CCACAAAATATTTAGGGGGACCAGGATCTTTCATTTTAAAACAATCACTAAGATATGCCTTGAAAATCTTAAGTGCAGCAGAATCATTCCCAAAAATAATAAGATCATCCACATAACCTAATACATTTATTTGAATTTTGCCATTAGTATATGTGAATAAAGAATAATCAGAGTAGGCTTGGAGAAAACCATACTGTTTCAAGGCCGACACCAATTTTGCAAACCAACACCTAGCTAGGAGCTTGTTTCAAGCCATATAGTGATTTGCGCAATCAACACACCAATGAAGGATCCGAACTTTCAAATTCGGGGGGCAATTTCATGTACACCTATTCATATAAATCACCATGCAGAAAAGGTATTGTGAACATCTATTTGATCTAACTCCCAATTCTTACAAGTTGCTATCGCAAGAACAACACGAACAATAGTCATCTTGGCCACCGGAGAAAAAGTTTCATCATAGTCAATTTATGCTTGTTGATGATTGCCGAACACCACTAATCGAGATTTTAGCCGCTCAATATCACCATTGGACAAATATTTGGTTCCATAGACCCATTGACTGCTAAAAGCACATTTCCCAGGAGAAAGATGCTCCAAGGTCCTTGTACCATTGTCGTCTAGAGCACGGATTTCCTCTTTCATGGATTTGCGCCATCCATCATATTTCATTGCTTCTTTGAAAGATTTTGGGTCATTACCCTTGATAATAGCTGGAAGAAATTTGCGATACTTGACTGAAAAATTGTCACAATTAATGTAATGTGCTAAAGGATAAGAAGTACCGGAGGAGTGATCAGAAGGAAAAGAGAGTAGACTATTACCAATAACCGTATGTGTCACAAAATCTCGATGCAAGACATTTGGAAATTTTTGTCTCAATCCATATCCTAATGCTTGATCATTTGAAGCAGCTTCATTGTATTAATTAGACTTTGTGTACCAGTTATGGGCCCACGTGAGGAAGCCCCATCCGCATCCTGATCAAATGCATGGCTTGGAGATGGGGGAAGTATTGGGTGGCCCATCTGGTGCTGGATAACCAGTGGGCTCACCAAAAGACATAGTGGGATGATCTGTCGAAGGCCCAGCGGGTGTTGGTGAAGACTGGTCTGTCACTGGGTCTTGGTTATTGGGTTGGGCTGCATGGTTTGGATCATCAACGACAACAGCTTCCTCATAAATAATTGCTGAAAAATCCTCATGAATATTATGATCCTCATACTCACTATTGGAAATATTCATGACCTTCGGATTCACAAACAAAAATACTTCTTTAATGAATTTCACATCTCGTGAGACAAAAAATTCCTTTGTAGTTAAATCAAACACTCTCCATCCCTTTTTACCAAACGAATATCCCATGAAAATACATTTGCGACTTCGACTAGCAAACTTATCTCCGTTGGTTTTCTGATTGAGCAAAGCATAGACACCCAAAGGTTTGAATCGAGTCAAATAATGGGGGTTTGTCAAAAAGGATTTCAAAAGGAGTTTTGTTCCCCAAAAGAGGAGTTGGGGTATGGTTAATTAAATGAGCGGGAGTGAGAATACACTCTCCCCAAAAATAAATAGGTAGTTTTTCTTGAAATCTCAAGTCACGACTAACATTCAATATATGTTTATGTTTCCTGTCTACTAGCTTATTTTGTTGTGGAGTTCCTACACATGATGTCTGAGACAAAATTTCTGTGGCTCTAAAGTAGTCAAGTAAACAATTCAACTCTGTCCCGTGATCACTTTGTACTACTTCAATTGTTTGAGAGAATTGTCAATCAACCATGTTAACAAAAGTCATAAACATTTGAAAGACCTCTAATTTATCAACAAAAAATAAACCCAAACTGCTCTTGAATAATCATCTACAATTGTAAAAAAATAATAAATTCCTCACGACGAAACATGTCGATATGGACCCCACAAATCACAATGAATTTTCTCAAATATTCGAGATGCTTTATTATCACTTAAAGGAAATTTGTCTCTAGGATGCTTAGCATACAAACATACTTCACAACCTGTATCTAAATGTTCTTTGCTACCAAAAACATTAGGAATTAACTTAACTACTTTTTCTGAAGGATGCCCAAGTTGACGATGCCACAACTCCAACTTTGATGTAGCTTTAACATTTGACACTTTCGGTTTGCTAAAATAGTATAGTCCATCTCTTCTAGTTCGCATTCCAATTAGCTCCTTCGCTTGGTCCTGTATAGCACAAACATAAGAATCAAATTGGACAATAGTGTGTAAATCATCATTAAGTTGAGAAACAGAAAGTAAGTTGCAACTCAAATTCGGAACATAAAGAACTCTGGTGAGAGTAATTTTTTTCGATTAACAAACGGATCCCACCAAAGTGGCTATTACTTTTGCACCATTCGGTAACCCAACAGGGCATTCAATATTATTTGTATCAACTAGACAAGAACTTTCTCCGGTGACATGATGAGTCGCGACGGTATCAATAATCCATGATGAAACATCAAACTTACCGGTCAATATATATTTCAGAATTTGAGCATTACCAACCCCCACAATAGCCTTCCACTGTTCAGGAGTAAATAATTTCCCCAAAGCCAAAATAGTAGAAGAATTGGACGCGAAGACTGACTGTCACTAGTGGCTGCATTGGCACAAGGCTGACTACGACCCTGCTCCTGACGTCTACTCCTTGGCCTACCCACAATCTCAAAAAAAGTGGGTCTCAGGGTGCCCTTTCTTCTTACAGTAGCCGCACATCTGCCCAACAGCTAGAGGCTTCGTGACCCGACTTGTGGCACTTGGTACATAGTGGTTTGTCATAACCCCTACCTCTTCCATGCAACACACCTGCCGCATCAGCCCCCGCACGCATAGAAAAACCAACAGCCTCGGTTGGTATGGTGTCCACTTCCTTTTTTGACAATCAAACACGCTCCTCTTGGGTTACCAACTGGTAGGCTCTGCCAAGGCTCGAAAGTGGATCTTGATCTGATTGCGTAGGGAAGAATAAAAATCTGGATATAATCCCATAAAAATCACGTAACTTTGCTTACACTCTCCACTCTTCAAGTAAACGATCGCAAGGACAATCAGAAATATAGCAGGAAATTAATGGCTCATGATGATCCAACTCTTGCCAGAAGGAGTGTTTGACCATAGTAAATGGAAATCGGCATTGCCTTTGTTTGTTCACACTTGGCTATCGAAGACCTTAATTATTGAATTCGAGGGCCATTAGTTTGTGCGAACCTCTGTTTCAAGTGATCCCAAAACGGTTTTGCTTCCCCGAACTTCGACAAAGAGGACTGTATTTTGGGAGTAATTATATTTGATATCCATGATATTAGTATAGCATTAATGGCTGTCCAATTGGACTTAGTGCATGGTGGTGACGGAGCAAGAATTGTTCCATCCAAGAACTCAAATTTGCGGCGGGCATCGAGAGCGGTTTGATGTCTGCTGCCCAGCTATCGTAGTTGGTAGAGTTTAACTGAGTCGGTGTAATGAAGTCCCCGGTCGGTCTTGTGATCCGAGATATAAAGGGGAATTTGGTTTGATTTCGGTCGGTGGTGGGGGTGGCGTGGAATATCATCACTTGCCATTGAATATGATTCGTTAAAACTTCTGGCTTGATACCACGTAAAGAGGTGAAACTTTTTTGCTTGCCTTCTCATTAACACAAGCAATCAATATATAATACACGGCCTCAAGATTCCTAATTCTAGACAAACTAGGAAAGCTAGAAAATAGGAAACAATGAATAATAATATCCTATCACAGCAATATCTTCCTAAATATAGACAAACTAGGAAAGCTAGAAAATAGGAAATAATGAATAATAATAATATCCTATCACAACAATATCTTCCTAAATATATGATATTTCCAAAAGGTTTCCTTAATATATCTTTATAAGGGTGAATGTTGAATTTTTATGAAATAATCAAAAGGTTTAATTTTTAATTAAAGAAAGTGTAATTGTTGAATTTTTTAAGGAAGGTACTAAATGCAGGTATTGTTTTACCTAAATGTAGGATAATATAATTTACAACAAATTTTATATTTCCAATATTACCCTTCTTTATTCTAGTCAAACTAAAAAAAAAACCCTTGTTTTAACATGTTGCTACCTTTCACCTTAATAACTATTTAATCACCCATAACTCATTCCATATCATTTAACTTGTAAATCATATCTCATAAGTTTTAATGTTTAAGCATTCATCCACGGTTAGATATGGATGATGATGAGCCATATTATAATGATTTTTGTACTATTAAGGTTGACAATTACACGATATTCAGCAATTGAACCCACCCTCCGTATTAAATTTTAGATGCCATAGATATCCTACCGCTAAACCATTCCAGGACTTTAAATGAACTACCGTAAAATCTTCGGGGCCTCCCTTTTACTACCGGCTTTGATTTCCGGGCCTCTTCATTGCCTACCGGCATGAATTTCCAAGGCCCATAATGAAAATAAGTCAATAACACCTCATGGTTGATGATTTTTAAGATATTCAATTTCATAATATTGCATTGATAAAGACCATAAAGTTAGACTCTTTCATTGATTAACAATTCCAACCTAAAAAATCCAAAACACGAAGAATATATTTCCTGGATTTTCATTGCTTTTATTCTACATCTTCGATCTTCTGAACAAAATTATCAAATTCATGAGTATACTATATGTGATAAGAATTTAGCAATGTAAGCTGAACAGACTTTAATTTTTCAATAATAAAAATTAAATTAAGTTGGGTTATAAAAGGGTAGTATAGTCCTTGGTCATTTTATAAATTCTGCATTTAGGTTATTTTATATTGCATTCACTAATTCTGTTTTTAAATTTCTAAGGAGTATTTTTTCTAAAAGAAAATAAACACAAAATGGTTTTTGCTATTAATCACAACGGTAGAAGTAAAACTTAAAATTGAAATCATTTACGGAGTAGAATTCAAACAGGTGCTCCCAAGTTTGAAAAACGGACAAAAAGACAAGAATAGTAGCGACGACTGACGAGTGAGATACTATGCACAGTAGTAAATGTTTAGTTGATTTCCCAATAAATTTTAAATTAAATTTACCCCATTTGTCTCCTCTCCATTTCCACTCCTTTAATTCAAACACTCCCCCCCCTTCTCCTCTCTCTCTTCTGTCAATTTCAACCTTTTCTTCTTCATTCTCCATTTCTTTCCTTTTTTCTGGTATCTCTTTATTATTTATCACGTCAATTTTCACTCACTCTCATTCTTCTCTCATCAGAATTTAACATCACTTCATTTACCAGGTTTGTTTAATTTTTTTCCCTTTTATATTATTGTTCAATGTACGAGTATTATTCTAGCTTTATTATTCGGATTTAGTTGTCACATTACTAGTTTAAATTGCATTATTAACGCTACAATGTGTTATAGAGGGAGAAAGTATTGAAGATCTGTGAGAATGAAATATTTAGTGTTTGTGTTTGCATTTTGTTTTATTTGTTTGCTTTTCATTTTTCAGTTGCACTACTTTTTGCTTTGTGTGCCATTTTCTATTGCCTTAAAGTTTTTTATTTATAATTTTTTTAAAGTAATTGGATCTTTGGCTTACCAATCTTTGGTTTATGGGATATTTTATTTATTTTGTTTACTAAACAACTGGTAGGTTGACCATTTTTTCCTGCAGTTTGTTCTGTGAATTTCTGGTGTGACCCATGAATGTACATTTGCATGTTCACATAATTTATTTCCAAAAATGTGTTTTCCCGTAAATTTAAATTACCAAATTGAAGGAATTTTAGAGTAGTAATGGGGTTGATTTAATTTTTTTGTTCTTTCGTCAAAAAAAAAAAAACTTTTATTTTGATTTTTTATTTATTAAATTTGTTTTTTTTTTTTTTAAAGAGAAGGTTAAAAAGATTAAAGGGGTACAAGATTAACTTTAATTAATTTGCGTTACTAATGATAGTAATATAATTGTTAATTGAAGGTCAATTGAATATAATTGTTAATTGTGGTGGGTCATATCATATGATTATTCATGATTAGACTTTATATGTAATCAGTAATCTAGTTGAATATGTTACTCAGCATTGCTCCCATCACAGCTCTAGTGAATCAATACAAATTCAAGCATTACAGTATAATTTCCATATTGAATAATCTCTTTTGGCTCATGTAGTCGACCCTCCTATGGGATTAAGGTTGTGATTGATTGATTGATTAATTGAATTTTGCATAATATCTTTAGTTAAGATAAAAGAGAAACGAGAATTTATGTTTTCCATATTGAATAATCTCTTTTGGTTCATGTAGCCGACCCCTCCTATGGAAGAGGTTGTGATTGATGGATTAATTGAATTTTGCATAATATCTTTAGTTAAGATAAAAGAGAAAATTGTAAAAGATTCTCGAATAACTTAGAGCCTTGTAATTAATTATGTAGGGGTTTAACCATGAGACTACTTTTGGGATGGAGAAAGTATAATGTTAAGTTGTTAATCCATTCAAAAGTACGAAAGTCATTGTGCTGATTGCTGAACACCTCAACAACTATGAGTTAAGTACTTCAATAAGCAGAAAGAGTTTCACTAAGGCATATAGTAGACCCTTCGTTGTTGCCTCGAATTAAGAAAGAGTTGTAATTTGGCTATCATGCCTTCAATTCATTAGTATAGTAGGGTGCATGCTTACCTTGGTTTGAACTTCATATAAATTAATTCATACTTGTATACTTGTGTGACTTATTTTTTTTATTGAACAACAGTTTATAGTATATTCTATTTTCGCATCATAATTTTTGTTTATTAATTTTTGTATATTCTGAATATGCTACATCAAAATGTGTTAAAAAATAAAGGCTAATGTTGCCTGAGAAAGTGAAAAGAGCTTTTTCAGGTATTTTTGTTGGTTGGGTACTTGGGTTAAAGGACATCTTTTGAGGAGCAAAACTGTTAATTTATTTAAATTTTAAAAATGTTTTTAAGATGGGTCTTTTGTTGGCTTTTGCTCTTTTCAAAAAAGTGACATTCCATTATGTAAAGAAAAGGCACCTATTATTGTATTTAATTCTGAGCATGATAAACTCTGAGTGATCTCAAGGTACTCAACTATGTCTCAAAATGTCCAAGGAACATACTGTACATTCTCGGAGATAATTGGCATTACTGGCGGATCTTGGACCAAAAAAATAGAGGGGGTGAATGTTTTCATGTAATTCGCATGCAATTTTGTGTTGAAACTATTCCTTTCCTTGCATTGTTTGATATGAGGTGAATTGATATCATGCATTTCAATCACCTCTTTTTCCTTGTTCATGTTATTTATTCTGTTTGCATATGCTGTGTGTTTAGAGTTACAGATTTCTTGGTCCTTCCAACGATGTTTTACAATTTTGCCATTGTTGATCGTACAGCAGATTATCGATTAGGGACAGCTTTGCTTTTCTAGTTTAACTGTGCTACGTGGACGACATGCCAAGAGTGAAGTAAGATATCTAATTCTTCACGTCAAGCATTTTTAGTTGATCTAATCTAGTTCATATGTACTTTATAAACCCAGCACAACAGCAATATAGATGTAAGAGTATTAATTAATGTTTGGGGATTGTGTTTTCTTGAACAGAGGTACAGAAGGGCCTCAAAGGCCACCGCCAACTATAAAAAATCCACGACATCTTCGAACCTCCAGCTCTGATTCTGATCCTCTTCATCATCGTTCAATCACAGAAAGAAGCCCCAGGATTGGGGACTATCGTTCCCCAAGGGGAACTCAGTCAGAGCCAGTTTACCAAAAGAAACTTGGTACCCGTATTACTGATCTAGAAACTCAACTGGTACAAGCTCAGCATGAGCTTAAGAGTCTGAAACACCAGTTATCTTCTGCTGAAGCTGCAAGGAAACAGGCCCAAGAAGAACTACATAAGAAGGGTAGCATCAAGAAGCAGGTCACAACTAGAAAAGTTGTTGGGCGAGCAAAGCCTACTGCTATTGCTGCAATCCCAAAGAATAACTCAAGGGACAAGCCCGGAGATGAAGTTCCTGAAGTCGTTGATCTAGAAACAGATGTATTTGAGGTCCCGGTGGAGAAAATGTTGGTTGAGCCCAAGACTGAGGTAAGTCACTGTTCTGTTGGGGAGGATGTGAAGGAGACCAAGTCAGAAGATTCTTCAATATCAGAACCAGAAAAGCCTTCATTATGTGATGAAGCAGTCTCAAAGAATGAGGAGATGGATCAAATCAGAGCCGAGATGGAAGAGAAAGAGAAAGAAAAACAAGTGGTAATTGAAGAAAACCAGGCACTGAAGATGCAACTAGATGAAGCAAAATCGGAGATAGATATGGCTCAAAAGAGAGAAGAAGAGATGGCATTAAAATTGAACCAACTAGGGGAAGATATTGAATTGAGCAGAGGAAAAGAATCTCAGGTAAAGGAGAAGCTAGTTGAAGCTGAAGCAGCCAAGGAATTGTTGGAGATAGAGATGAAGAAGATGAAGGTGCAAACAGAACAATGGAGAAAGGCGGCAGATGCAGCTGCTTCCGTGCTTGCTGGCGGGGCAGGGACAGGGACGAAAGGACGTATTTCTGAGAGGTGTGCTTCCATGGATAATCACTTCAACAGCATTTTTGAGCCACCACCCATCACTGGGTTCGGTGGTTACCTTGGATCACCAGGGGCAGGTGATGATCCAGATGACAGTTTTGGGGGAGGTAAGAAAAAGGGTTCTGGGATAAAGATGCTAGGGGACTTGTGGAAAAGGAAGGGCCAGAAATAAGTCTGATGCTTGTTTGTGAAGGCCCCCTTAATCTTGTGGGTGTTAGTGTGTTACTACATTTGTGAGGGCACAATGGTTTCTTACCATTTTCTAGATTTTGTAGTTATTATAGTAAGCCTTGGAATTAGATTCATATTCGACGTTTTGTTAACTTTAAAACTATGACTTGGATATCATTGTATTGTTATCTCAAGCATTTTACATTTCGTGGAAGATTGCAGTCCTGCTCCTGCAAAATCTGTCATGTTGATATTACAGTAAAAGCAATTTTAAGCAAATTGCAGGTGAATTTTTTTGGGTTTAACGATCATATCATGTCTAACAGTTTGCAAAGCAATGCCAATAGAGGATGCAAAAGATCGTCAGTTGCATATCTTGAACTTCAAGTTCCAAATTACTCTTTTGTTCATTCAAAATTAGCAGTCATTGATAATTAAAAGAAATCGTGAATTATGATTAAGCAGGTGAGAATTCTACCAATCCATGGAAGATCAGATCTAAGTATCAAACCAAAGGCCATATAAGTTTCAAAGCATAATGATTTATGAAAGTTGGCAACAAAGATAATGATTAATATGCCACCATCATGCAAGAAACAATGAGGTATTTGAATTAAGATTATTCCAAGTACAATGTAATATATATGATCTTGATTTTAATAAAATACGTAGTGAATCAAATAAAAACTAGACATTTGAACTATAATTGCTCTAAATGATCATTCATAAAGATCACTGTACAGCTAATTGACCTCCATTATATTTAAAATTCTAGTGAACGAATTTAAATGGTTTGCATTATAGCTTCCCTTGATTGTTATTTTCTTTTCCTTCCTCGGCCTTCCTTTCCGTCAATTCATGATGAGCAACATCATAGGTAGCATGCACACCAACAAAGAGATAATATAGCAGCATTACCGCAGTACAGATGAAGAACCTTAGAAATGCCTCGTAACCCAATGATCCTATAAGAAATATATTAAATCCAATCGACAATGAGGGCAACCATGGGACTAGAGGAACCTCCCAAACCTTAGGAGTTTGCTGTTTTGGCAGTAACTGCAATGCCAAAGTTGCGACAAACCAAACAGCACCACACACAGAGTAACCAACCCAGCTATGCTTTACGTTCCATAATACTGTTAAGCCAACTGAAGAGATCATTATGAAAAACAAACATGCAAGAAATCTGTATAGCCCTTGCTTTGGTGTAACATCTGCAACATAGTAACGTCTGACTAACAAAGCCACAGCCATAAGCATAAAAATGAAGAGTGTACTGAATGAGAAGACACTAGATAAAACATCCAAACTTGAAAAGAAGGCAATCACAGCACTGAGAATTGTCACAAGCAAAGTAGCATTGATAGGAGTTCTAGTTTTCGGATGAATTTTAGCAAACCACGGAGGAATCATATGAGATCTAGCAATTTGTGTTGTATAACGAGCTTGCCCAAGAGAACCTACGAGCAAACTCGTAGTCATCCCTTTAAGAGCAATAATAGACACCAAATACTTGGCCCATTTCATACCAATCTTCTCAAAAACAACAGTGTAAGGTGCATTTACATCAATCTCAGTATACTTCTGCATCATAGTCAATGTCAATGACATCAAACAATATATGACAGTAATAATCGACATCGATCCAACCAGCCCAATCGGGATATCCCTTGAGGGTTTCTTAGTTTCTTCAGCCATGGTAGCAACCATATCAAACCCTGTATAAGACCAGTACACAACAGCAGCAGCCTGAAACACTCCTTTAGCCCCAAATGGAAAAAATGGTGTTAAATTCTCAGTTTTCGAATGAACAAACCCAACCACAATGATGAAAACAATCACTAATGCACTCAACACAGAAGCTAACCAATTCAACAATGACGTCCGCCTAGTCCCGGACATAGCAATACCATTAGCAATCAACAGCACAATTACAGCAATAGGATCAAGCAGATTAAACCCTTCAGCAAAAGAATCAACTCGAATTCGCAAAAAATCAGAATCATTCTTAATCATACTAGCAAAATAAGAAGACCATGATCTGCCTAATCCTGCAGCACCAACAATAGCTTCAAGCAAGATATTACTAGCAGCAATAAAAGCAATAAAATCACCCAATTCAATTCTAAGAAAAGAGAAAGAACCGCCAGCAACAGGAATTTCAACAGTAAATTCAGTGTAACAAAAAACAGATAATAATGCAGAAAACCCAGAAATTGCATACGACAGTAAAATTGCTGGGCCTGTATGATTATGGGCTTCTTGACCCGTAATACTGAAAATACCCGACCCGACAACTGACCCAAAACTCATCCATATAAGATCCCACCATGTTAAACATTTGTTCATGGGATTTACACTCTCTTTCTTCAACTCAACGAGTTCGAAAGAATCAGAAGAACGACTCAATAATCTGTCTTTGAGACGTGGGAAAATCTGGGAAAGTGCAGATTTGTAATCTGAGAAAGAATTGAAGGAAGTTTCTGGGAAAAAGTCGTGTTTTTTCCATATCCAATAGCTTGAATTGGGTGATGATTGTTCATCAATGGCGGCTGAAGAGGACGCCATTAGAAGTGGGGTTTTTTGAGGAGAAAGATTTGTGGGGTTTTGGGATTTGGGAATTTGACTCATATTGAAAGGAATCAAATTTATTTATATATATAGGTTTTTATTGGACTTTTTGAGACAGAAATTTCGGAGTTTTGAAATGAGTCAAAATTTTGTGAGAAGATTATTGCCTTATTTGGACTGTTAAGAGTCAAATTCTGGGTTGGAGACTGGTGTTTTGTGTGTGGTCGTGTTTTATTCGGCCCGTTTCACGTTTGTAACGTGGTTTTTGTATTTTGAGTTTTGTATGTTGAAGTGGTAAGTTTTATAACCTCCGTTACATATTAGTTGTAACTTTTGTCAAAACGAAGTGCTACATATTAGTTGCAACTTTTCATTTTTTTTCCTATTTTAGTAAGTTTTTTTAAAATAAAAGTACAAAAATACCCTTACTAAAGAACTTATAAACACATTTAACTATCTAAATCAGATTTCATTACATTCCTAATCTAACTCATCTAACACATAAATTAAAAAAACAATTCAATTCCAAAAATCATTCAACTACCAAGAATATCAGAACACGACCTTCTCATCGTCGTCGCCGCCGCATCTAACCACCATTGTCCCCGTCGCTGGCTCGCTGCTGCATCCACCACCACCTTCAATGCTGTCGCTGCTCATCACCATATTCAAAGTCGCCGCCTACTCCTCCAGTGCTCCTTACTCACTCCCCCCCCCCCTCTCTCTTTTAATAGTGTAGATATGATGGTTTGAGGGGTAATTGGGCTAGTTTGGGGTTGTTTATGGATGGTTTGGTGTGATTCAAGGTGAGGAAGGGTAGTTTTGGCCTGGGTTGCTTTAGGGTGAGTGTGGGTAATCTTGGGGCTGATTGAGAGTGGTGGTTTTGGGGTGGTTTATGGCGAGTGTTGGTGGCTTTAGGGAGGTTCGGCTGTGAGGAGTTGGTGTCGATGTGGTTAGAGTTGAGAGGTGGTAGTTTCGAGTCGTTTGGGTTGAGAGGGGGTGATTTTGGGTTGTTCGCGTTGCAGGGGTGGTTTTAGGGTTGTAAGATGGGTGGTCGGCTTGAAATGGGTGGTTTCGGGCTGAGAGGTGATGATTTTGGGGTTGCTCGGGGTAAAAGGTGGTGGTCTTAGGGTTGTTCGGGGTGCGTCTGGGTGGTTCAGCCTTAGAGCAGGTGGTTTCAGGCTGTGAGATGGGTGGTCTAAAGGTGGCTGCTGTTGAACGTTGGTTGTGGTGTGGCTGCTGTTGTCATTGTTGGTCAATTTTTTTAATTACCTCCACTTTCTCACTCCTACCCTTAATTTACTATACTTTAATTCATTAGTGAACTATTATGAAATTTTGTCTTAAAATCCGTGTCAAACTCAAAGTTGCAACTAACATGGAAGTAGTATTAAATGATTGAAAATATTGGGATGACGACCCAGGATTATAAGATGTTGCTAAAAAAATAAAAATAAATAAATATTGGGAGAGGATAATGGACTTTGTATCCAGCCAATATTCGAGTATTATTCAAGGCTGAATTAGTGGGTTGTTATCATTTTTTTTTATAATAATAGATTCTTAGGCCCTATTTGATTCACCTTAATTTTGTTGAACTGAAATTATTTTTATTGAATTTAAATTATTTTTACTGAACTTAAATTATTTTTACTAATTTTCTATTATAATTCTTCTTTAAGAAAACTGAATTTTACTGAACTGAAATTAATATTACTGAACTGAACTTATTTTTACTGAACTGAATTTATTTTTTACTTAATATTTTTTTTTAAGGTGAAAAGATCAGGGTCTTATTCTTCTAATTGTCAAGTAATTATACACTAACTAGTTTTGTGCCCCGTGTCGGGTTGTTTATTATTCCGTAGTATTTAAGATACATTTTAAATCTATATGTCAAATTTTAAAATATATTGATACAAAATTAGTTAGCAATTGATGTGCTTTTGTGACGATTTGCTATATAGTAGTCATGTCATGACATAAAAAAAATTAAAAATTAGCAAAACATAAATTTAATAAAAAAATAAAAAAAAAACGTTCAAAGCCTGTTGGGTTGATCCGAACCCAAAACTTTGGCAAAGGGTTGAACATTTCTTGGCCGTAACCTAAAGTTACCCTATTTGAGATGATTCATGACCTCAGCCTTTTTGATAGGTCTATGTAGTAATAAAATTATATTAGATTGTAAAGTATATTATTTTAACCAATTAGTATATATATTTGATGTTATATATTTTGAACTATTTCTTTCGCTCCAAAAATACTATGATATTTAAAATAAATTTATATAATAATTTTTAGAATTATAATCTAAAATATTTTTTGACTAAGATTATACTTTAAATTGTACATCTGAAATATTGGTCTTTTATCGAAAATAAAACTCTAAATTAACAATCTAATATCATATAACTAATAACTAAAGTTAAACTTTTAGTTAGGTCACGAGACAGCGACACTTGACGTTCCAACTTTTCACCAAGTGTCGCGCCACGTTGGATAGATTTAAATAGAATTTATAAGATAAAAAAATTAGCTTAGAATTATATTTAGATAAAATTTTAGGATAAAATTGTTAGTTTAGAGTTTTATTTTCGATAAAATACCAATATTTCAGATGTACAAAAATTGAATTATAATTTTATTTTTTTAAAAAATATTAGATTATAATTCTAAAAAATTATCATATAAATTTATTTTTTATATCATAATATTTTTTAGAGTGAAGGATTTAATTCAAAGCGTAAAACATCCATTTATAATATATATTAATCGATTAAAATAATATACTTCACAATCTAATAAAATTTTATTACTATGTAGACCTGTCAATTAGGGTCGGGTCATGAGTCATCTCTGATTAGGTCACTTCAGGTAGAACTAATTTTGTATCAATGATATATTTTAAATTTTGATATATAGATTAAAAATTTATCGTAAAATACCATAAGTAACTCGGGCATTGCACGGGGCACAAAACTAGTATATATATAAAGAGGAGTTTTTTCCTGAGTTTTTAGAGAGCCACATATAATTTAATTTTATCAGCGCGCCATGTAGGATAATATATTTTAGTGGTAGCCAATTAAATACGAGATTATTAATTTCTTTTAGAACTAAATAATTTAGATGACACGTAAGAAAAATTGGCGAATGAGATTTCCCAGTTTAAATTAATTAAATATAAAATATTATCCTTTGATATCAGGAATTATATATATATATATATATATATATATATATAAAATTCAAACAAACCGTGCATCACACGGGGTTCATCTAGTTTTATCCTAAAACTCTATCTAAATTTAACTGAAAATTAAATTCTAAACTATTTTTTTTTAATCATATGAAGTCTATTTAAACCTATCCAACATGGGCGCAACACTTGGCAAAAAATTAGAACGCCAAGTGTCATTGTCTCGTGGCCTAAAATTTCCCGATTTAGTTTTGTACACCGGACATCGCCTGGGTAGTCTATTGAAGTTTAGGATAAATTTTTTTTTTAAAAAAATAAAATCTATATGCAAAATTTTAAAACATACCATTAATAATAACAGTGTTATGCGTTAGATTTAGGATATTTTGATATACATTGTTATTCAAAATTTTTACTAATGAAATAATAATTACTTGACAATCATACTTGTAAAATAAATAATACTATGTAGCACTGACAGGGTAAAGTCGTATCCCTTAATCAAAAATAATTCCTAAGTCCTCTAACTAAAGCAGATAGGGAAGTAGGGTCGATCTCCATTGGGAAACAAGTCTTTCTATTCCTAATTAACTAAAATAATCTAGATTATGAAGTAACCAATATTTATATTTGAATAAGAAACTAAACTACTAAGATTGAGAATAGGGAGAAAACAATATATAAAAGGATCTAGGGCATAGGTTCACCAATAAATAATACTCCAAGATAAATCATAATAATCAATCATTGACATTGCATAAATAACATGATTAACAGGCTCTCGCAATTTATTAATCAACATAGATCTAACAGGCTCTCGCAATTTACTAGATCTAAGTTCCTATTGAAAATAGCCTTTAATATCAAATTAACATCTGCTCGATTCATCAATTCAATATTGCTATACTTTTACAAGCCGTAATTGTAAAGCGTTAAAACAATTCAATAAGAAATTATCATGCAATATCAAGAACCAATAATAGTCAATCATCAATGCATCAATTAACCAGATTGTAAAGGGCTTTCGCTACGTATTACATCACACAATTAATTTACCGGTATTAAATCTCATCTCTCGAATCTCGACTTAACCATTTATAAATTAACCTGCCTATTGAAACTAGACTTAAATATCAATTCTCATCTGTCGAATCTCGAATCAATATTGTCAAACTCATGCATAAAAGATCAGGCCTAATCTAGTCACAGAGCATTAAATCAATCAATAGGAAATTAATCTAAAACATTAACAATCAACAATAATAAACTATCCCTTCATATTATTTATGGATCCCCAAAAACCCTAGAAATAAACTACTCGTGCATAATTAAGAATAAACTAAACAAAGCAATTAAAAAAAGCATGATAAAGACAAAGCAATTAAATAAAGCATGATAAAAATAATCGAATAAAACTAAAGAGAGGAGAAGAGTAATACGGAGAAATAAAACTAGAAGGTAATTAATACGAAGTATGAAAGAACGAAACAGTGGAAACAAAGTATCTTACAAAAAAATTAAAACTAATCTAAAAACTAAAACTAAAACTAAAAAGCTAAAACTAAAAACTACCTAATGATAGCCTATTCCCGTAACTACTACTACTCCCTTTTTATAAGGAAAAGGAATCTTATTAAGAAACAAAAAGATAATCCTAGCTTAATTCAAAGTCTCAAACTATGATAAAATTGCCAAAATTAATCTAGGAATCAAAGTCCCAAAATCAGCTCAGCAATCATGCGCATTCCGTGGCCCAAAATGATTCTTGATTGATTGGGCCCGCCAGACATTACGCCCAGCAATCAATCTCGTGGCTTCTTGAGCTGCTCTTTTGGGATTGGGCTCCTCAAGCTTGGACCCAATTTTCTTCCTTGATTGGTCCGTAATAAAATAACTTGTAAGATGATGGACCTCTTCACATATCGAGCCCTTAATCACCGGATTAAATTAATCTAATTCGGCCTTGGGCTTAAAATATTTGGTCATAAAATACGATCCGACTCCATTGTCTTTGTAGTGGCTCAATAAGCTCAGGAATTGTCGTAAATCTGCAAATTCCTACAAAATAGTACCAACTCTACAAAAACACTAGAAAACGTATATTAGTAATAAAAATAGCTCCGCAGAGCTCAAATAAGCACAAATATGACCGTGGGACGGGGAATAAAAATATATATAAAATAGACTTATCAAGTATGTAATACCGCTCATCATAAAGTTGTGAGTAGTTTTGATAAAGAGTTTGAGTTATCTAGTAGCTCTTGAAGATGACGCAAGTAGCACGACCAGAGCATCTAAAAGAAATCAGTTTGGAGTTGCTCCTATTTAAATGTTATTGGATGATATTTCTTTTATTTTTATAATAACCGCAACTTCTTTAAAAAAAATTATAAAGTACAATATAACAATCAGTTGTGAACTTATACTATTAGTACCATTGCAGCGTTTGTAGTTTTTTCCAACTCACAAATTATATCTATTGTACCTTTGCTTAAAAAAACTCAACATTCAAATTATAAACCCTCTTAGTATGAAACCTCCTTTTTACCAAAAATCTTTCGTAGCCAAGTATTACAATATTCTTCACCATATTGTCAATTATTAGTCATCTTTAGCTTAGTAACCTACCCTTTTTTTTCTTATTTTGATTTTATTTCGTCTAAATCAAAATTATATTGAATTGACTATTGACAGGGTAAAGCATATCCCCAAATCAAAAGTAATTCCTAAATCCTCTAACTAATGTAGATAGAGAAGTAGGGTCGAATCCACAGAGAAACGAGTCTTTCTATTCCTAATTAACTAATATAATCTAGATTATGAAGTAACCAATATGTGAATTTGAATATGAAACTAAACTACGAAGATTAAGAGTAAGGAGAAAATAATATATAAAAGGATCCAGGGCATAGGTTCACCAATAAATAATATTCCAGGGTAAAATATAATAATCATTCATCAAGGCATACATTAATCAGATTATAAAGGGCTTTCGCTACGTATTACAATCACACAATTAATTTACCGGTATTAAATCTCATCTTTTGAATCTCGACTTAACCATTTATAAATTAACCTGCCTATTGAAACTAAACCTAAACATTAATTCTCATCTGTCGAATCTCGAATCAATATTGTTAAACTCATGCATAAAAGATCTGCGCAAATCTAGTCACAGAGCATTAAATCAATCAATAGGAAATTAATCTAGCATTGACAATTAACAACCATAAATTACCCCTTCATATTATTTATGGATCCCATAAACCCTAGAAATAGAACTACTCACACATAATAAAAACTAAACTAATCAAAGCAATAAAACAAGACATGATCAAAGGAATAAGATAAACAACTAAGATTAAGAGAAGA